CACACACACACACACACACACACACACACACACACACACACACACACACACACACACACACACACATACATTCGCCTGTGCACCAGAGAGGGAGAGAGACAGACAGAGGGAGAAAATGTGAGGGGGGCCGCACATGCACGACCATGGTGGCCAAACTTTAGGTGGGTGTTCTGCTCATCCTACTGGCCAAACGTTACGTGGGTGTTCAGGCAGCAATTCAGCACCACACCACTGTCCAACTGCTCGTCCACCTGCTGCTCATCCTACAGCTGCAAAAGGGAAGCTGGGACGTATTATTTCCCCCGCCTCCCACCACGTCCGCGCAGCAGCTGGGGCTGCTCAAACTGCCCAACGGTTTCTTGTTGACACCCTTCAACATTGGGAACCTGGGAAGTCTTCACCTTTTCTGGACCCCATCCCCCCAATATTCCCACACTCTTCAAATCGTGACATGGCCAATTTGCTACAGAGCTTTGCTCTTGCGCCTGCCGGGACTAGGAGCCGGGACCGCACCCTGCCAATGACTGGCGCCTGCTGGGACTGGGAACTGATGACAGCCATGAAATGTACCACATCGATGTTGTGGTGGGGACGAGAAAGGAAACAGAAGGCAGCAGACGAAGCTATCGACTACGGCAAGATGACAGCCATGAAATGAACGAACTATAAGCAAAACCCAGACCAGAAACTTGCCAGACTAAAAGGCCGGAAATTTTTCGAGTTCCCCAACAGCAGACTCCTATTCCAGTGGAGCTGTAAACGGTGCATGAGAAGCATCCGAGGGGCAGATGGAAAAGTCACATTCGCCATTCAGGTCATACACACACTAGGACTTTTTTTGGGCAAAGGTCTAAAGACGTGATTGTCGTGAGATTCATCCACGTTGGGCTGGAATTGCACTCAGACTGCAGCAGAAGCTATTAGCTACAGTAAAATGCCACTCAGACGTGATTGTCCATGAGATTCATCCACGTTGGTTTGGAACATGGTAGTGTGACTACGCCCTGAAGACTGCAGCAGAAGCTACTATTGGCTACAGTAAAATGCCACCCATCGTCTTGCGGCAAGATGATTTCCATGAATAGTGAACTTACGAAAAATAAAATTCAGAAACCTGTCTCCATGAATAGTGAACTGAAGGAAAATTTCAGAAACCTCTCTCAGACATATATGCCAGAAATATTTGGAAAGTCCAGTCTTATTTTTTTTCCTTTCCTTCCCTTTTTCAAGGCGGGTAAGGTAACCCCCCTTGTACTATTCTCCATTCTATACCTTTGTCTGAGACCAGATTCTATCGGGATTGAAGGGGAGGTGAGGTAACCCCCCTGGTATACTATTCTCTATTGCACACCTTCTCGACCAAACTCTATCAAAGATTAAAGGGGAGGTAAGGCAACCAAGTCTCTCTCTCTCTCACTCAGCCTTTTTCATTATACTATTCGTTGTATACAACCAACTCCACCACGGATCTGTTCCTCATCAGTTACACAATCTAACCCTGGTAAAGGCATCTGCCTGTTATCGCCGTACTGTTCTCTATTCTATATTCTATACCTTGTGTGAGACCAAATGCTATCAGGATTGTTTTTTTTTTTTGTTTTTTTTTTAAATGGCCCGATGGACCACGGATCCGATATTAAACTGATCAGAACAGATACTACACTCGATCTTAGCCAAAAGGCCGAGAAAGGTATTCTATCAGGATTGTAAGGTAACCCCCCTTACATTATTCTTTGCCTCGTATACGACCGATTCCACCAGGAATCTGTTCCTTTATCAGTTTCACAATCTAACCCCAGTAAAGGCATCTGCCTGTTACGGCCGAGATCACAGGTTCCATTCAGTGTGGCTGATGATGGACCCTGGCTACTATACCGAACAGTACATAATCGCCGTAACCTGCCAGCAGATGCTCGCCTGGATTCGCGTATGCTGGACTGGATTCGCGGTAACCTGCCAGCAGATGCTCACCTGGATTTGGTGGCTGCGGAGATAGGTCATGCGGATGGTGTGGCCGTATCTCCCCTACGTCTCATGGGAGTCATGTGCTCAGCGTCTGTGTTGTGGTGCGACTGTGCAGGGCGGCCTGAGTGCAGATGGGTAGCGACTGCTCTGTTCTGTCCGAGATACCTTGTCATCGCATCTGTTACCTTGTCATCGCATCTCTCCTTGGTGCATAAGAAGTATTCTCTCTTTCCCACAAAAAAAGACGAAAAAAACAGAAGAAGTATTCTCTTTCAGATATCTGAAAATAGTAAAATACGAAATTAGCAGGGGCTAAGTGTTTTGAGTTGCAACCTCCTCGCTGGCAGGGGGCTCGGGCCGGGCCGGGTCGGTATGGCGCTATTCTCCTCCTCTTGTCTATTCTGCCTTTATCTTTTCCGTCTGTCTTACTCAACATTTTCGGTCTTGTCTATTGCTGCAGGACCGGGGCCAACCAGAATAGATGGCGCAAGTGTGTTTGGGATAACAACAAAAATAGAAAACACGCAATTCTTCGCGTTTGGAAATTTCTCTCTATACATGTTTTTCCATTTTCTGGGTTTAACGATAAAAGAGAGCCGCTCCAAACGACCTCTCTCTCTCTCTCTCTCTCTCTCTCTCTCTCTCTCTCTCTCTCTCTCTCTCTCTCTCTCTCTCTCTCTC